AAAGCGTGGCGAAGGTAAACATTGGTCCTTTAGAGGATGAGAAGGCCAATTTAATAACTGGGAATGAAGAAATAGCCGAGGCATTAAACATTTATTTTGTGTCGGTCTTCACAGTGGAAGACACAAATAACATCCTGAAAACTGATGGCAAGAAGGTTATAGCAGGTGAGGACCTAGAAACTATCAGTATCACTAAGGAGGCAGTGCTGGGCAAGCTAATGGGGTTAAAGGTAGACAAATCTCCTGGCGCTGATGAAATGCATCCCAGGGAACTAAAAGAGGTGATGGGGGAAATAGCATATGCACTAGTAATTATGTACCAAAATTCACTGGACTCTGGGGTGGTTCCCGCAGATTGGAAAACAGCCAATGTGCTGCCACTGTTTAAAAATGGAAGTAGACAAAAAGCAAGTAACTATAGGCCAGTTAGCTTAACTTCGGTAGTGGGAAAATGCTTGAATCTGTCATTAAGGAAGAAACAACAAGGTATCTGGATATAAGTTCTCCCATTGGGAACACCCAGCATGGGTTCATGAAGGGTAGGTCATGTTTAACTAATTTGGTGGAGTTCTTTGAGGACATTACTTGCATGGTAGACAATGGGGAACCTGTGGATGTGGTGTATCTGGATTTCCAGAAGGCATTTGTCAAGGTGCCACACCAAAGGCTGCTACATAAGATAAAGTTGCACGGTATTACAGGTAATGTATTGGCATGGATAAAGGATTGGTTGACCAGTAGAAAGCAAAGAGTAGGGTTAAATGAGTGTTTTTCAGGTTAGCGGTCAGTGGCTAATGGTGTGTCTCAGGGATCAGTGTTGTGACCGCAATGGTTTACAATTTACATAGATGGTTTGGAGTTGAGAACTAAGTGTGGTGTGTCAAAATTTGCAGATGACACTAAACTGAGTGGTAGAGCAAAGTGTGCAGAAGACACTGAAAGTCTGCAGAGGGATATAGATAGCCTAAGTGAGTGGGCAACGGTCTGGCAGATGGATTACAATGTTGATAAGTGTGAGGTTATCCATTTTGGTAGAAATAACAGCAAAATGGACTATGTTTTAAATGGTAAAAAATTGCAGCACGCTGCTGTGCAGAAGGACTTGGGTGTCCTTGTGCATGAATCGCTAAAAGTAGGATTGCAGGTGCAGCAGGTAATTAAAAAGGTAAATGGAATTTTGTCTGTCATTGGTAGAGGGATGGAGTGTAAAAACAGGGAGGCTATGCTGCAGCTGTATAGGGTCCTGGTGAGGCCACACCTGGAGTACTGTGTGCAGTTTTGGCTTCCTTACTTGAGAAGGGATATACTAGCACTGGAGGGGGTGCAGAGAAGATTCACTCGGTTGATTCCAGAGTTGAGAGGGTTGGATTATGGTGAGAGACTGAGTAGGCTGGGATTATACTCATTGGAATTCAGAAGAATGAGGGGAGATCTTATAGAAACATATAAGATTATGAAGGGAATAGATAAGGTGGAGGCAGAGAGGTTGTTTCCATTAGCAGGTGAAACTAGGACAAGGGGGCATAGCCTCAAAATACAGGGAAGCAGATGTAGGACTGAGGTCAGGAGGAACTTCTTCACCAAAAGGGTTGTGAATCTGTGGAATTCCCTGCCCAGTGAAGCGGTTGAAGCTACCTCGCTGAATGTGTTTAAGGCAAGGCTGGATAAATTTTTGAACAGTAAAGGAATTAAGGGTTATGGTGTGCGGGCGGATAAGTGGAGCTGAGTCTCAAAAAGATCAGCCATGATCTTATTAAATGGCTGGGCAGGCTCGAGGGGCCGGATGGCCTATTCCTGCTCCTAGTTCTTATGTTTTTATGATGTATGGTAGGGTGACTGGTGTGCTGTGTCTTTCTGTTGTTGTCTGTTGAGAACACATCAGAGATGACCACCAAACTAATCTGACCACTACAAATCATGATAGCACACAAATGCACAGCTACACTATGACAACTACTGACAAGAACAAAGGATCCCATACCCACAACTAACAGGACCAATGTTATATATAAAATCCCACGTAAGGGCTGCTACAAGCACTAGATTGGACAGACCAGGAGAAAATTAGCTATCAGGGTACACGAACACCTACTAGCTACCAAGAGACACAGCCAACTATCACTTGATTCCATACACTCGGACAAAGAAGGCCACCAATTCGACTGGGACAACGTAACCATCCAAGAACAAGCCAACCAAAGACATAACATGGGATTTCCCAGAGGGCTGGTACTCAATCCGGAACTCCATCAGCAAAGATATGGAAATAGACTCCATATACCAACCACTACGAAGCAGAACCGGAAATGAGGCCAACCACCACACCAGACCAGATCCACATAAATAACAAGCAGGACAGACTAACAACGCTTCATCAAGAATGCACTGATGATGTTACCTAGTATGGTAACAAAACGTCAGCGAACAAATCAACAACCCCATAAATGGTTGGTTTCAGGTAATATATTGGAAATCAATGTAATCCTAGGCATTATAATGACAGGGAACATTGTTTCTGTTGTTAATGATGCCATCAAGTGCATTATGATAGGGCTGAAAAGAGTGTAAGGATTCACGTTTGCTCCTGTGATTCCCTACACGACAAATTGCCCCATGATAGTGATCAAGCGTATTTAGTATGTCAATATCAAAATATAATTGAAAAGAACACCTCAGGTCATGATACCATCATGTTGTGTCAGGTGCTTCTTCTGAGTCTATCAACTGCTTTCTGCAAATTTGCTGTCCCTGTTTCCACATCTGTCATATCAAGTCAATACTGTGAAGCACCAAATGCTTGCTTAGACCAATTGTTGTGGGGACAAATCTAAAATCATTTTATCAGGGCATTTTCCAAGCTTAAAATGGTTAGTTAAATAATTTCTCAGCCTGGCCATTGTGGAGACCAGACAATAGTCAGTTTCCTCAATCAAATAAACCACCTGTGAAGTTGTTGACGAATAGCTCCCAGCATTTGGTGTTGCATTGTCTAAGTCAGTTTTCTGTTGTTTCTTTTAGGACTCTTGGGCACAAACTTCCTCATTGACAGTGTAGCTTGTCCAGCCATTGCAAAGACTGTATGCAGCCTATAGGATGACTGCCAGAAGTATAAGTGAGAAACAATTTGTACTCTGGAGGCATCCTTTGACTATCTTGCCTCTTAAGCATTGAACTCAAAATTGGCACACTGCAAGTTGCATTCAGTCTTAGTGTTTATAACCAGCTATTTATGACTGTTTGTAGCTTGACTCAAAGATGGTTCAAGCTGTCAATGTCATTTATTTTGAACTGAATCTCACCGCATTAATTTGTCATTGTGCACTCTGCTCTACCCTGATCGTGTTATCTGTAATGTATTTGTTTGCTTTGTATACAGAGCAGGGACTGTGTACAACATGGCTCACCCGCTGAGGGCGAGGTCATCCAGGTGCGATGGACCGACAGTCTGGTGTACAGCGCAAAGTTTGTTGGCTCCCAGGTCAGGTACAATTATCAGGTAAGATTGAGATCACATTTTTCTTGCTGAAACAGAAATGCTGACCAGTTAGGAACCAGTCGCTGACCAAATGTGGGTATTTTCTTTTCTTTGCTCAAGTAATGATTATCACAAAACAATAGAAAAAGATGACTTATCAAGTCATGAAACAAGGTTTTAATTTTAAGTAACGCTTGCTTTGGAGAGATAAGGCAGAAATTGTCCACAAAAATGAAACAGAACTACTAACTGATAAAACTGTGGATGAGCACCAGGCAGCAATTTAAAAAAAAAAAGTATCGGTTGGTTGACTGTAGAATTGGATGTACCCTTGAGGGCAAGAGCTATACATTGGTCAACAATGAAGTAACGCCTAGTATGAAATTAATAAAGGGCTTATACAAAAGCAAAGTCCTGTGGATTGGGCAAGATATAAGGAACAGTGAAGGAGCATAAGCAAGGTAGTAAAAGCCACAAAAAGGAGTATGACCAAAACCTTTCGAGAGATATCGAATACAACACTGGAGTTGTGTTTAACAAATAAGTTAAGAGAAGGAATAGTATGGGATGTTTAAAGACAAATGTGAATGGTACTGTAATTGGAAATCGGAAAGTGGAAGATATACTAAATGCATTGGCCTTGACAATCAAGAAAATGCATAAAATATCAGAGGTAGAAGGCGAACCAAGGCAAGAAACAAAAGATTTAATATGTTTAAAATAAGTTGATGGAGAAACTAATGTGAATAAAGATGCTGCTGACTGTTTCTACACCATGGTATTAAAAGAAGTAGGTAAAGAAGTTGATGCATTAATCAAGATCTTCAATTCGGAACTGTCCCCTTGAATTGGAAAACTGGCAGTATTGCTCCATTATTTATAAAGGGTAAGATAGTTAACTAGGCAATTAAAGATCTGTTACTTTAACATCAGCTGTGGGCAGGTTACTAGAATCTTTAACTGAGGATAGGGTGATTGAGCATTTGTACAAATGTAAGCTGATCTTGGAGAGCCAGCATAGGTTTCTAAAGAGTAAACTATGTTTAATTAACCTAGTGGAGTTTTTTGAAGAAGCAACCAATATGGATAAGGAAATGCATTTGAATGTTATTTATATGAACTGTCAAGTATCAAATAATGTTTTATATAAACTTAGTGAAAATAAGCTTGGTGGATTTGGAGGCAGGCTTTGTTTCAGATAGGAAATTAGGAGATGGACAGAATAGTAAGGCACAACCTTCCCCCAATAATTTCATGCTTTATTTGATTGATATGTGCATTTCTAAATGAAGCTTTATCCTTTCCTCAGGTTTCTTTGCAATAATTTTACCATCATTGCAATTAGGCTGATTGGTCTCTAGTTACTCAGCAGAGTCTAGACGGAGCCTGAACGGTGTGGACCATGATGAGAAATGTGGAATACAAGGCCTTTCTCCACATCAGGAGCAACTCGTTGCTGGGCATAGAGACAAGATTTATATTAGGGAGTGTTGAGATTACTAGGGGATTATTGCTTTTTAACCTTAACATCAATAACAAATCGCACCTCATTAATGAGCAGCTTCCTGTCCTTTGCAAGGGAATCAGATATTGACAATTCCCAATGTGAACGTCAGAGCAGGTACCTGATGATTTGAGCTTGCTGCTTGCTCCTCTAGGTCACTATCTTGAGCACCCAGCAGCAGCATCCCAGGGCACCAACCACACGTGCCCGTCATCCATGGACCCCTGCCAGCCTCTTGGGACTGGCACTGTCTGATCCACCTGTAGGGTGCATCAGCCCTTTTAAAGCTGCATTTTGAGGTGCACTGTCAACCAGCATTGATAAGTCTCTGCAAGGACACAGTGAGCACAGGAACAAGCATTCACAAACTGGACCAGGCTTATTTTAGGGCTACTCACAACCTCTCTTGCCTCTCATCCTCTTAGTGTCTACGCACATGCTCACACCAGCCCTGCCTTACTCTGCCTCACCCTGCCTCAGTCACCGAACCAGGCAACTTGTCTCGAAGGTCAGCAGTCCTCCGTTAAGGGGAGGGACATCTTTCCATAAGGTGCAGTGTAATGTCAGTCTCACATCTGCCACATGCCAGCAGCTTATATGGCAAGCACACTGCATGTGGCTATTTCTCAAAGTCTAAGGGATGTGGTCCTCAGTGAGGCCAAGCAGATACCCATCAATCGGGGAGTCCTGGAACAGTGAGTAAGTAAAGGGCAGCCTCTGATATCAGTCTAGGACGTTGGCCACAGTCTGGCATCTGACTAGTCTGCTTTAAGCCCAGGGATCCATGCCTCTGCAGTCTAGGGAATGGCTCTCAGTCAGTCCTTACCTCACAGTGATTCCTTAGCCTGGAGTTAGCGCTGACACTGTCAGAGATGTATAGACTTGAGTCAGGGCTCTGGGCATATCTTGTTCAGTGCTGTCTGGATAGGTTGCTGAAGAGGGTGTGGACAACAGTCAGTCTTTTTATTTCCATCCAATAAAGGCAAGGAGTAAGTGGGGAGGGATGGGGGTGGGGTGGTGGTTGTGGACTCCTGCTGCAGGAAGAGATGGGCAAACCTATTGGTGGGAATTGGGGGCTGCAGACAGGGAGGATGATGATCGAAGACGGGTTGGGTTGGGACCTGAGATGGTGCACAGCCTATGAGGCTCATGGGAAAGTGAACCAGAAGGAGATTTGGATGATTGGAGCCTTACCAACAGGTAAAAGTGGAACCTAGAAATTGGAACAGCTCCATGGTAAGAAAATGGTTGCAAGCACAGCACTTCCAGGGTAAGTGGGAGGAGTTTCAAAATGCAGCGACATGAAGCCTTTCAAGGGACAACAACACTACACACAGCACAGACCCATTTACTGTGTAGGGCACACAACTGTGGATGCCCAATCCCTGCCGAAGCTTATCCATTGTCTAACTGTGAGCTGTACACCTCCCAGTTTGAAATACTGCTGAACAATTCATGCAGAAGCAGTACCTTTGTCCACTGAAGCCAGTGACACTACCAGTGCCTGAATTAAAAAGTGCCCAGTCACTGGAGACCCTTCTAGCTGCAATGGTCATATTGCCCACATATGGTGCAGCAGCTTCTCAAGTCAGGCATTGCACCATAGGGACATAACACATGTGAGCTGATGTAAGACTTGAGTTAAAGTAGGGGCTACACGGTGACAAGTAAACTGATCTAGTGGCGCTCTGAGCATGTTTCAACAAATGTCAGAGTTTATTTGACGTGGAATTTCATCCATGCCACTGATGTGCCCTTGAGGTTTTCTTCTTTCTTTTCCTTCCACCACAAAGGGCAGTCCCAGTTCCCAAAGCCGGGGTGGAGGGAGCCAGCTGGAGTCTGTTGTTCTCAGAGGTTTGGTCAGGTGACCCCGGAGGACATTGGTATCTAGGGCACCCAGACATGCTGAGTGTGTCCTAGTCAGAAGCAAGTTCACTTCCCTCCATGCAATCTCCCATGGGAGTGAGGGTGGTAGGTGAGTTGCAGATGAAAGGCCCTGCCACGTTTGGAGTGTCCTGACTGGGGACTTCTGAAGGGCTGTGTTTGGTTCCTCTTCTGGCTGGTTGCCTACTGGCATTGCCCTGCCTCCTTGTGAGGACGGGACACTTGGTGTGAGGCCAAAGTGACTTGATCGCCCACCACCGCCGCATTGCTTCGTGGCTAAGCTAATGGATTGTGTGTATGTCCAATAGACTCTTACAGTACTGGATCTGGCTCTCTATGACAGCCACCACCCTGTCCATGGAGATAACCAATCATTTGCATGGTAGCAGTAGCTGGTGCTTCATAACATTCTGTCCTCTGGACTCTGAGTGCCATTGCCTCCCACCTTCCTGCCTGGTGGTCACATGTCTGCTTGTACATGTGGACAAAGTCCCTGATTGTTGACACCATGAGGTCCCCTCCTGCCCTAAAGCTGAGCTCATGCCTGGTCTCAACTAATGCCAGTGATCCAGGATGTTTCAGCCAGCTGTAGAAATGTGCTCACCAACCCGTGCTCCCCGCTCTAACTAAAGTTCCCACAAAGATGTCAGTATTTGAGCTCGTTATTGGGTGGGGAGTGCTTGCCAATACTTCCTCTGAAGCATTTGAACTCTCCTCAGGTGTTGGAGGCCCTTTCTAATGGGCTGGGCCACTTTATGACCAAGACAGTGGACTCCCCATTCAGACCTCCAGAATATAAAAGGGAGGCAGAAAGCAGCCAGTGGTGTATTATGAATGACATGAGTAGGATGATTGTGAGAGCTGCATTGGAATGGAGTGGTACCTACCCAGTTGGTTGGTAGTGGCATATCATCCCACAGGAATAGTTTTTAAAACAGTATATAACACTATCATGTAATGACATATTAGGACAGGTAACCAAAGGTTTGGTAAAAGAAGTAGAACAAATAAGAGATAAGAGTTTTATGCAGGGAAGTGAAGAGCTTAGTGCCCAGGTACAGCTGCCAGCACTGGCCCAGTGAAAAATAATAATGCATAAAAGGCTACACTTGGAAGAGTGAAGAAATCTGAGTCGAAGGAATAGAGAAAGTTACAGGGGTAGGGAGGGGTAAGGCGTGAAATAGCTTTGAAATGATGGTCTCAGTCTTTTCCTACAAGAGCCAGGATTCTCTCCTAATGGGGTGAGGCGGATATGGAGGAAAAGGCAGGGAACTGACCATAGGTAATAGAACCGATGCAGGTATAATGGGCCAAATGGCCACCATAACAATTCTGTGACTGAGAGAGGTGTTGAGTTTTTGAACTGTACAATCCATAGAAAGAGGTGATTAAACTGGGTAAGTGTACAATTGTGTTAGCTTCAACACTGAGAAGGAATCAGTGCAAAGAGATACAGAATTTTAACATTAATAAGTAATAATATTTAGAGCTAAATGTACCAATGAGATAATAGAACAAAGAACTGCAGGTGCTGCGGATCTGAAATAAACAAAAACAGAAATTGCTGGAGAAACTCAGAAGATCTGCCAGCACCTGGGAAGAGAGAAACAAGTTTCAAGTTCAGTGACTCTTGTTCAGGTCAGCCCTGTTGAAGATTCTGGACTCAACATTAACTCTCTTTTCTCTTCGCAGATGCTACCAGACCTGTTGGGTTTGTCCTGCAATTTGTTTTTGTTTGTACTGATGAGGCAACATATTTGTGGATGGATGGCTTCTTTGAAAGTAGAAGGAAACACAGACCTAGTAAGAGAGTTGCCCAACTAATATCACACTTCAGTAACGAGGTCAGGAGAATAGCCTGAATACCTTCTTGGTCAAGGCAATGACATAATCTTGAGATAACAAGGTGTAGAGCTGGATGAACACAGCAGGCCAAGCAGCATCATAGGAGCAGGAAGGCTGATGTTTCAGGCCTAGACCCTTCATCAGAAATGATAGCCTTCCTGCTCCTCTGATGCTGCTTGGCCTTCCTGCTCCTCTTATGCTGCTTGGCCTGCTGTGTTCATCCAGCTCTACACCTTGTTATCTCAGATTTTCCAGCATCTGCAGTTCCTACTGTCTCTGATACATAATCTTGAGGATTTTTTTTCTCCAGCAGTTTTGGAAATTATCCTACCAGAAGAAATATTCTGCAGTTCTCTTCCGTCAGTAGTTTTCTTTAGCATTATTTACAAACACTTCAGGTTTTAGCACTTAACCAGTGATCTACTGCCACCTAGTGTCTGAAAATGGAATCTGCCAACAGTAGCAATGTGCGTTCATGTAGCGCCCTTAATAAGTATATCATCCCACAGGCCTAGTTTTAAAAACAGTATATATCACTACCGTGTTATGACATATTAGGACAGGTAACCAAAGGTTTGGTGAAAGAGGTGGAACGAATAAGAGATGAGTTTTATGCAGGGAATTGAAGAGCTTTTAGGGCCCAGCTACAGTTGCCAACACTATCCCAGTGAAAAATAATGATGCATAAAAGGCTACACTTGGAAGAGTGAAGAATCTGAGTCAAGAGAAAATTACTGAGGTAGAGAGGGGTAAGGCGTGAAATAGTTTTGAAATGATGTAATGATCTTGTTGCACTAAATGATCATTCTCTTGATGACTTGCTTGTGATTCAGGTGGAGTTTGAAGGAGGCTCTCAGTTGACCTTGAAAAGAGAAGACCTTTTTACATTGGATGAGGAGCTACCCAAGCGTGTGAAAGCACGGCTGGTGAGTTCAAAGCATACATTACCTATCAAATTGCAATCAGCTTGTTAATTACCATCCACTTGGTTATGCACCTCTGATACATGTTGAGTGGCCAGTGTTTAGGCTGACAGTTCTAAGTGACATGGTAGTTTAAACATCCAGTTCAAACTGCAATGGTCTCTTATTCTTACCTCTGTATTGCTGATGAGATTCTAGCATTGATGCTTGGAAAAGTATTATATTGATATTGTGTCCCACTTGAGGTTAGTGCCAGCTTTAATTGAAATTGGTTAAAGACAAATATTGTCCAGAAGAAATCCTCTGCTGTTCAAAACTATCATCTGATATTTTATGTTTATCTTCAGTTGTGCAATACACCTTCCTTGTATTCGCCTCTTCATTTTAAAAGTGTCATACTGGATTACAGCAGAGATTCACGGAGTAGAACTTCAATCCACAAATTTTTAATTCAGAAAAGAAAGTGCTGACACTTACCAAAACAGGATCTGACTAGAAATATAGCCCTTTATATAAATCAGAATTTAGTTCCCTGTATGGCCTACTGGACAATACTGATGTGGATTGCAACTGTAGACACCAGAGGTTGCAGGTTTGATTACTGTTTGCTGAGTTGGATTACCTGGGACTGCAGCAATGGCATTTCAATTGGGTTCAGTGCTCTGACTAGGGAGAGGAATACTATAATTAAAATTCTTCTATTCAGTGTCCCGTGTTGGAAAGTGTTGTAACTCTGATACATTCTCAAGCTGCCGATACTTTCCGTCCAAGCTAATAAGAACAGCCAGTTTGATCATGTATGAGAAGGTAGCCAATGCCTAAGTAACTTTAGGTACCTGCTGCAAGTCCATACTTGCAGGGAAAGAAAGGTGAAGAGTTAAGATAGTAATTAGTTCTAACCATCAAATCATGAATAGAACAAAATGCTAACTGTTTCCAGTACTTCCCCAATAGCACTAAAGTTGAGTTACAGTACAAAATATGTCTTTCTGCATGTAAATGGGGCATGTGGCAGAGTGTGAAGATTTATTTTATTTGCACATTGACATTTAATGTGGATGACAGCTGTTTTTTGGGAAATGGCAAAGCACATACACGTGTTTGTAAGGTATCCCAGGCAGTTAGCCTCTGCTGTCCTTTTCAGTTCTTTTTAACTTGTTGCACATGGTATTGCTTCTGAGGATTAATGTGACATACACTACATTCTTCCAGTTCATACTGTGCTACATATTTTTATCAAAAGCTACCACACCTTTAACAGCAATACTTGCAATTGAGGACTTCCTGATTGATCTGACTCGACATCAAAACTGTTTCTTCCCAATCTTTCCCCAAATTGAGGAAGATTTTGTTTCCTCACTGCATCTAGTGAAATTGTGGAATAAATTTTGGAGTAAAATAGTGTATTACTGCAAATAAAGGAAATGTCCCCACTTCACTGATTGTGGTAGAATTTAGAAGATGCCTTCATCAGGCATGATGAATGTAAAGAAATATACACAGTCTCTTAAATGTGAGTAGGCCAAAGCCTACTGTAACAGAATGTATCTGGAATAAGATTCAGTGAAAAATGGTCCAAGTCTCAGGCTTCACTCCTCCTGCAAGAAGAGCTGGAACTCAATCTGGCTCTTATTGGAATTTAATCATTTTATCCCATCTGAACTGTCTAATCTTACTCTCTTTAGTTTAAAATTGTTCTGTTTTGCCATATCGCATTCAGTATAGCTCCATGTGCTTCAGTGGTTTACCATCTGTTATCACGCTTTTTGATAAGTCTCAATCCATTTTGTTTTGGGTTAAACCCAATCCATTTATCCGGTACTGAGATATGTAGAAACTACTAATTAGTCAGATACTGAGTGAGAATGAGCAAACTGAACCATTTAAATCATTCTGATATGAAATTTGACCTTCAGAAAAATATATTTTTACTGATCACAGTACATTTGATTCAAGCAGCTGCATGTTGGAATAAATCTTAGTTTACAAGCATGATGTCTAACTGGCCTTAAGGTTAGATTTTCTGAAAGGAAATAACAGCAGGCAGCTTGATAATTTTTTAGCTCACATTATTGGATTGGGAAAACATAAATCTGCCACTGTACAACAGATAAGATGGATGGGGCTGCTCAATTATTAAACCTCTTTTATGAGCAGAGCATCAAGCACAGACACTAAACTGTACAGCAGAGAATTTAATTTATCAGAATGTTTTGCTGAGTTTCCAAACAAACCATGGTCAGTGTAACAGGGTTTAAAGAGGAAGGACATGAGATGCAGGTAAGTTCCTTTGACTTTAAAGAGACACTTTATCAGATTGAGATCAGACCTTGTGGGTTTCAAGAAAGATGCATGCGGATTGAAAAATGTTCTCAGATACTGAGAATTTTGGCAAACAAATCCAAATCCTTGCCTACTGTAAGGAAGTTGTAATCATTTCAGTTTTGTAGTAAATGTGGGTAAGAGAGTAAGCCACAACTGCAGCAAGTTTTAAGTCAATCTCTATTGTCTACATTCCTTATTAATCATTTATATATTCACTAGAAAAATAAATGGGTTGGCTCAAATAAATCCATGTTAATCAGCATTCCAGGTAAAGATAAAATATCTCTGTACTGAACTATGAAGTTATAAATTTAAAATAAACTAAAGAGATGTGCACTCATCTAGCACCGTTCACAACCTTGGGGCAACCCAAATAGCTTTAATGCAAAAACTGTGTCCTGAGGAAGGGTCACCGGACCTGAAACATTAACTTTGATTTTTTTCTTTACAGATACTGCCAGACCTGCTGAGCTTTTCCAGCACCTTCTGTTTTTGTTCCTGATTTACAGCATCTGCAGTTCTTTCAATTTTTTTTTTCCCAAATAGCTTTACTGCTGAATGAAGTGCTTTTGAGTTTTGCCCCTGTTGTAATGTAGATGAAGGCTAGTGATCCCTAATCTAGATCAGTCATTATTGGGAGCTAGCAGGAACTGCAGATGCTGGAGATTCTGAAGAAGGGTCTAGGCCCGAAACATCAGCCTTCCTGCTCCTCTGATGCTGCTTGGCCTGCTGTGTTCATCCAGCTCTGCACCTTGTTATCTCATTATTGGGAGCTGACAGGATTAAGCCTTGAATGGTTTAATTTTTCTTAAATTACAGTATTCATGTCATAATGGGCTGAACTTGCTCTACCCTGAGAAAAGAAACCTACTGCCCCTCCTGAGGAAACAAATGACTATTAAATGCCTATTTATTTACTAAGAAAGAAGGAACTCTGGCAGTACAGCACCACTTCATTTTGTAGTCTTCCAGGGTAGAAGGGCATGGATAATCCTTTGCTGTCCTAAGTTGCATTTCTGAGACAGTAAACACCAAACAAGCCAAAGCAAATTGAGCAGGAGAGAAAATTTGATTAGCAGGCCTGATTATGCTGTTTGTACAAATCCCCTGATTGGTCTGCGCACCAAGAGCAAATAACTGTGAAGCACCAACCTGAGGGAGCTGACTATGAAACAAAAAACACCGAATTTGCTGGAGAAATTCAGCAGGCCTGGCAGTATCTATGGAGAGAAAACAGAGTTAACATTTTGACTCCAGTGACCCTTCGTTAGAACTGATAGCAGCTCTGAAAAATTTATATTTATATTGGTGAGGGAAGGTGTGTGTAGATAGGTGGAAATGGAGCCCAGAGAGAGAGAAAAAAGTTAGGCAAACAAAGGGATTGTCCATAGTAAGCCAGGGAAGAGGAGAAGCTAGATAGGTTATGATGGGTGAAAATGGGTTGGCTGCATTGCATTGAAAGCAAACCAAGTTTTGACTGGACCTATGTTGTGGGTAACAGGTATGGAAGGTGGTGTTGAACCTCTAAAGTTATTGAACTCAAGGTTGAGCCCTGAAGGCTGTAAGATCCCCAAGTGGAAGGTGAGGTATTGTTAGTCCAGCTTCTTCCAGATTATGAAAGTGAGTGAGAAGGAGAATGGCACATCAATTCAACAATACCCAACTTGAATGCATTTGTTGAGCCCTCCAATTGCTCTGATGCAGTGCCTGCATCCATGTGTTGCTATAATGATATTATTCCATCTATCTCCTTCTTTACCTGAAGCACCCAACTCTCTATTGGTCACATTCACATTCCGAAAATAGAATATAGTACCAGTGGTGGTACAGTATGCCATACAATAGAATATAGTACCAGTGGTGGTACAATATACTATAACTATAGAATATAGTGCCAGTGGTGGTACAATATACTATACTGTAGAATATAGTACCAGCGGTGGTACAATATACTATGGTTTAGAATATAGTACCAGTGGTGGTACAATATACTATAACTATAGAATATAGTGCCAGTGGTGGTACAATATACTATACTATAGAATATAGTACCAGTGGTGAAAAGGAGTGAACTGGCTCCTCTTTGTTCAACTTCCTTGTTCCTTCACAACAAATGTTTAATTCTCTTTTTTTTCTTGGCACCAGGGTATATTTCTCCCCATTAAAAAAATGTGGGTAACTAAAAGGAGCCAATCAACAGGATTTGCTTGAATCGAAGATAAAGCAAGTTTATTCCCTGTTAAACCCAAGGAAAAACAGAAAGTGGTCATTTAGTCCTTGCCTACACATACACACATAGAAAATTAAAGGGGAATAGTGTCCAATGCAAATGAGGATTCAAGTATGGCTATTCATTGACTTTGAGGTCAAAGGTTTTTAAACCAAAGAATGATGTTGTTTTGCTGGTTTCTTGGATTCAGTCAGTTAAGACAGTGTTGTAGTTATTGAAACGCTGTTGGTTTGTAGGCAGTTTTCTCTCAGGGCTGATCATTTTTTGTAGAACTGGACACCACTTCCAAAGAGAGAGAGTACACTTGTTTGGATGTCATTCCATGTGTTTCCATACATCCTTCATAAAAACCACATGCTCAGAAGGAAATGTTGGAGAAATTCAGGAGGTCCAGTAGAATCTGTGGAGCTATGAAAGGAAAGTTAACGGTTTGAGTCTGGTATGACTTCTTCAGAATTCTCAAAGTTTCAAAAGAGAGTGTTTGTGTCAAAACTGACTGTTGGTCCACAATGAATGCAAGCAAATGTTACCAACATGAGTTGTAATGGTCCAATGTCAGAGTTCTGAAGAAGGATCACCGGACCCGAAACGTTGACTGTTTTCTCCTTCACAGATGCTGCCAGACCTGCTGGGCTTTTCCAGCAACTTTGTTTTTGTTCCCAATGTCAGAGTTCCCGGTTATCCTTTTAATATAGATGGATTTTGGGTTTCAGACCTTTCTAAAGAAGGGTCCCAACCCGAAATATCAACTTTCCTGCTCCGCTGATGCTGCCTGGCCTGCTGTCTTCCTCCAGCTCCATACTGTGTTGTCTCTGACTTCAGCATCTGCAGTTCCTGCTATCTCTTCTCCTTATATAATGAGTTTTGGATTTGAGCCTTTGTTCCAGCAGTACTTGTTGTCGAGAAGTCCCATTTGTAGAGACATTTGAAGGTCTTATTGTGAGCTATAAGTTCCAGATGATAAATTTTTATGTCCTGTAATTACCAGCTGGATAGTCTTATCGGAATGAGAATCTTAGCCATGCTGTTTCGAAATTCCTTTGTAATTCCTGTGAGCTTGGCTGCTCACGGCTCAGGTGATTTTGGTGGCTATCTTAGTGAGCCAGCTCATTTTTAGCTGTATTTCTCCCAAATCAAAGTTCAAGACTTTAAGGTAGTCATTGAGATTTCAACGATTTATTGTGTCTATTTTTATATCATCTTGACAACGGCCTTGCCTCCAGTCCCAATCATATTCTCTGCATGGCCACGGTCATAGTAATAGAAGACTCTCCATTGACAGCATTCAACTGAAGAGAAGAATTACATGTTTTACATATCTTCAAAACTGGTCTTTAGCACCTAAGTTGTGGGTATGTGTAAATGATTATTTTGTTAAACCAATCTGAATTTCAAAGGTAGGAAATCACTGGGGAGGGATGCAGCTTCAAGCCCACCAGTTCATTGAGTTGTCTTCATTTTGCTGTAAAATCTTTGATTTACTTTATTCTACAATCTACAATCATGTTTGTTTTACAGTCACCATTGATGGGCTCACAGCACGAAGATTACATCTCAGGAGAGGAAGCTAAGGATGCGAAGAAAGCCCGGCCATCAAACTCCAGGTTGCTTGAAGACTACACCCAGAAAGATTACACCCAGAATCCTGAATACATTACATTTATGGAAAACCTCTTTCATTCACCTTACCAGCAGGGATATATTAATTAGGAAGATACACCTCTACACTTGGGTATTTTTTTGTTTGTTTTGGGCTTTTCAATGGGAAAAAAATGCTTTTGTGCTTAGTAAATGGATTCAATTTTAAAATTGCTATTAAAAAGACTCTGCAGTTAAATACCTGTGAGCCATCTTCTGCGAAGGTGCTAAACATATTCAGAATTGAACTACTGAATCTGCCTTGAAGTTTCAACCACATCTCTTGTAAATAGAAAAAAAATCTTCAAGTCTTTTTTTTGAAAACCTTGGGTTTAAGAAAAGGAGAGAACAAAATTCAACATTTTTCTAGCTTTTGTGTGCATTTTCCTGGCATATTTTGAACCAAAGCAATATTTTCGATTGTTACGGGGTGTAGTCATATCAGTATGAAGGGAACCCATTGTTACTTCTTTGACTTTTCTGCAGCAAGGCAATTCTTCCAATTATCTTCAGGGACAGTACTTTTTGTTATTATTGGGAGGCTTTGGTGAATTTTGAAGAAGTTTAAAACACAGTTGTAAGGACTGCACTCCTAAACTGGTTTAAATTTTTCTCTGAAGGCAAAATATAAATCCCCAATCTTAAAACCTGGGATATAATGCATTGAATCCCAGATCAAAACTGGGATGCCATTCTGGCTGTTCCAGTATTGTTGATATACCAGCTGCTGTGTTAATTCGTCGCTCTGTGGATTTTACAGTGTGTGTGGCTTTCAGGTGGCCAAGCACGGAAGACAGCTTTTTTTTTTGCCCGAGATTGTTTTAGAGCTTTAATTTTGTTTTTTTTTACTACTTTTAAGTTGTGTGGTGAATATTGATATAAGATGAGGTTAAAAGTAGTAGTCGTGGAGGTAGCTGATTAACTTGAAAAGGAATTGATTACCCCTCATGTTCTGTGGAATCTGTTGGTCCCAAGGGTAGCTGTCATGATGTCTCTCCTGTTGCTCGCGAGAGTAGCTGTCATGATGTGTCTCCTGTTGATTTCTGGGTTTGGGAGTGGGGAGGAGGTCCATACTTTCTTAAGTTGTCTTAATTTTGTTTTATACTTGGACATTTGTATTATTTAAGGCCCAATCCACTACTCAGTTGCAATAAAATAATCTAATAACGTGAACTCCTTTGCATTGTAAAGTGTTACCACAACGTCTGATCAGTACAGGGCAACCTGTGTGCCATTACTGTGGATTTATACCTTGATATAGTTTGAGTCGTCAAAGACTCAAAACTAAACATTTGTTTTGCTTATCATTAACCAAAATAAAGCACATTTTTCACTGTTTAAAACCTCCAAGCCACTTTCTATAAACGGTTGATTTAATTGATAACCTCAAAAAGACACTAGTTTATTATAAATTAACGTGCTTATTTGTATATATTTAATGTTATCTTTGTATAGTTTTCTTTCTTGCTCAATTTGAATTGTTTCATCTCAATAAGCACAAAGCATGATGGAATTATTTGGCTGTGAATGGTACCTCCTCGTGGCTGAGGTGTTTAACTCTGTGGCTCCCATAAGAGATCTGAAGCTGGCTGAAGTTGAGCTTGTCTTTCATTCATTTGAGAGTTTACTCCAACTTTTGCTGTGCCATCAAATAGAGGAGACTGTCAGTAGAGAATCCGGACCTTTGTATCTCAACTAGGAAAAAGAAATGCAAAACCGTGAGAGGAACAAAACGTTTCAGTAATTTTTCTTTACTTTGTCATGTAGCCTCAAGTGTTTATATGACTGTGAGCAGCATGTGTAGATGTTAAAAATTAGACCTGTTTAGAATGCTGTGTGGAATCAATTCATCAGGTCACAGAATTAAGTCTTTAATTTTTATTTAGAGGGATTGGGACCCCTCAGAGTATTTGTGTGATTGGGAAGGAGAAAAGGGGCCTAGGGTGGAGGTGGGTGGGTTGAGAAGTGTTAGTTCCATGACAGTTTAAAATCTGTTGGGAAATTTTGGTTTGAGTAAGACTAGAAATTAAACTGTAGAAGATCATCATCATCATCAATAAATCATGTACAAAATGCATTACACCCCTATATTAAATACTTTAAATTATTTCTGTTCTGTAAAATAACAGAATACATAAAAACATTCACTCTTCAAATGTCCATTTTCAACATTTACTGTTAGGAATAAGATGTCCAGTTTAGAAGTGTGGTAGCTGTGTGTCGGCTGCAGTAGTAAATATGTAGTTTTTAAAGATAGGTGTATAGTGGAGGCTAAGTCTTGTAATTGTAAGTGACTAAACTGCAAACAGTTCTGTTAAAACCATCACAGCAGAATGTGACAACATTTTTTCAGCATCACAGACCATGACTTTTACATCATTTAAAAAAGAAAGACCTGACTAAGTTACACCTTGAGGGAAGAATGTCCCAAGTTGTGCCTCATTTGACTGCAGCAAAGAAGATTCAACATCATACAATTGCTGCAAAATTTAAATATTTGTTGATTTTTGCCAACTAATTAGATGCAATCACTGAAATACCTGGGATCAAAAGATTAGTAATAAGATACTGGGTACCTTAACCTCCTCAGCTGAGTGACATTGTGTCCCATTCAAATATTGGAATAAATCACCAGTCCATATTCTTTCAATGCAGTTCTGTTTGTTTTAGCACATTGATAAAATAAATATTCAGTATTGCAGGCTTTGTAAAGACCAGTGCTTGAAATGCTGTCACTTTGTTCATAATGAGCATAAGGCTTTGCAAGTTTGAAGGACTGGCTGCTTTTCAACTGTCATCAAGAAATGGGAATAGAATATTCTAAGAATGCCAGGGAGTACCAAACAAAAAGGACAAAGGGAGATTTAACGGGGGCATCACCCATTCTGAAAGAGTTTAATGGTTGCATGTGTGGTGTGTATCTAATTCTGTGTTTCCCTGTATGTAAGACCTTTGCTGTGAACTGTGGAGGAAGCCTCTCTCTCTCTCTCTCCCTCTCTCCCTCCCTCTCTCTCTCTCTCTCTCTCTC